CCCCCCCCCCCCCCCCCCCCCCCCCCCCCCCCCCCCCCCCCCCCCCCCCCCCCCCCCCCCCCCCCCCCCCCCCCCCCCTTAAACATGTTGAAATATGAACATTATGGAAACATACAAAAAAAGTAAAATAAATTAAAATGTAATGTAAGTATCGGTTTTAATTTGTCAACAACTTACCTATTAAATTGAAACTTGTGTTGGATTCCTGTCAGGTATATTTTTTTCTTCATTACTCAGCTCCGAATCTCTTCTATCTAAGTCTCTCTTTTGACGCTCATACACACGTTCATGTCGTTGTAATTTATTCATTTTCTTTTTAATATCATGTAGTCCATGATCTATTCTTCTTTTTAAACAAGCTATCATCTTTCTTTCTTCATGAACAACTGTTCTTTGACATGCGGGTTCATCCTGTGCCTTGTGAATGTTTGCAATTTGCTTGAAATAATTTAAGTTAGAGTGGCAAAGTTTATGAATAATTTCATTTACTTGGACGTTTATGTCAAATTCAATATTTGTAATGCTTTGAACTTTTCTGTACTCGGCTTTTAATAGAGTATAAAGTTCGACATTTGTGCAAAAAATATGTAACGCAATTATTTGTACTAATGATTCTAAATTCGCTAAAAATGGTTTTATACTATCAACCGGTAATAAACGTAAAACCATTATCACAGTTACTTGTTTGTCTAATTTATTTTCTACATGTTTTATAAAATCATCACTATTATTGAATAATTGATATAATGTTGATTCATGCTCTGAAATAACCTCGTCCGGAATAAATAAAATTGTTAAACGCTCATCAGTAAATAAATCTTTGCTCACATAAGTGGATAATGCTGACGCCATTGAATTTTTGAATCTTGTTATACCTTCTATCAAAAACAAAAGTATTATTCTTGGTTAAATTTTAGACTAAGTTTTGAAATAACCTTAGAAATGAATGGAACATGGATTAACGGTCACGCTGAGTCCTGTGCCAATGTTTGTGTTCAAACGTAGAAAAAAACCTAATGGAGACCTACTGTCGGTAGAAATAGTGTTTTCGAGCTGTTTTTCTAGGACTTTTAAACATTACATAGCTTACTCAAAGTCGGTCCAAATGACTTCAAAACTTCAGGTGATATTCTATTCTACAAGCAAAATACGATCGTGTGATCACTTAAAAGGGATTTCTGTACTTTTTTCGCGAAAACTGTATCAGAAACCAGCGTACTTGCTCCCGGTTTTTCGGTTCATGCATACTTGCTCAGAGTTTTTCGAAAAGCCCTTGGAAAACGGCTCAAAAATCAACATTTTTACCGAAAGTAGGTCTCCACTAAATCGTTTTTTTCGTCTGAAAACAAACATTGGCACAGGACTCAGCGTAGCCGTTAACTCATATTCCACTTATTTCTAAGGTTTGTGAAAACTTACGAGGGAAGTATCGTAAGTTGCAAGTCGCTTTTTCGATGAAACTAGATGGACTATATATAACTGATGGCGCTGATTCCGAATATGAGCATCGGTGATCCCATTAGGCTTTTGTTGACTGTTTTTCTAAAAATCGGATCTCTAAAAAATTAGAGACCAAATCCAGAAAATTTTTCTGCATTAGCCATTTTGTACAGCACACAAAACTGTCGATATTCCATAGCTTTTAGTTTTTCAAAAGAAGAATTAAGAGTGCAGTGAAATTTCCAAAAAAGAGTGGTTACGTTGGTTTGGTATACATTGAAAACATCGAAGGAATAAATGTCAAAAGAATGGATAATGATGAGCGATGAGAATGAGAGGAAAATGTATATTGCAATATCTAGAAGCAACGAAATATATAAAGAAGGTCGTAAAACAATGCTACGAAAAAGAGAACGTGAAAAAAAGAGATCTCTGTTTTTCTTTTTCTGTTCTATATATATCTTGCACATTGAAAAACACTCTTGTCTCTTCTGGTCAGCTGCGAAAGAATGTAAAATGTAAGAAATTGTAAATACATTTTCTTACATTTTCTGTCTTTGCTTGATGTCTATTCTCGAATATTCGCTCCCACAATAACTTATCGGGGAAAACTATTCGCTAATCAACGAAATTCTAATGAACAACAGAAAATAAAATAAAACAAATATTGTTTAATAACGACATCTTAAAATTTTCCAATTTCAATTACGTGTCGCGATCATGAAGAACGAGTCGTTCATGAGTAGCTGACATTTACCTGTTCTCTATATGTTATAGAAGTGAATGGAAAACAATTCGGGTATTACTTATTCGGGTTCGTTGCCAAAACTCTGTACTGAGATTTTCAAGATCAAAACTACTATTTATACTGCTTAATCTGTGTAAAAGCAACATCAAAAATATTATTATCGGTTCTTTTAGCGGCAAAATTTTTTGGGATTTAACGGGATCGTAATTAGGCCTATGGGACGGTATTGAGATTAAACCTGCGGGACGAGACAGGTATAGGGCTTGGATAAAAGATTTTTTCGGGATCGGAACGAAAAAGTCAATCCCGCAGGGCTCGACCGTGGCATCTTTCTGTTTATTCAAACAAAGTTTAACTAACCTTCATTAACCTCTAATTGCTTATATAGATAAGCTTCAGACTAAGAGTAAACTAATATACGAGCAGTCTGTTGATATAGCCAGGTAGCCAAATCTACCCTGTAATAAACTGAAAATCACAGCGCTGCACTTGGATAATATCAACATAAACCTTTACCGGTTGCCAAGAAAAAGAAAGCGGTTGGAAATTTCCAAGTAAGAAAGCAAAATTAACCTGTAGAACTTCTTAAAAACAAATTATTGTCAAAAGAAGAAAAGAATCTACAAAAAGCAGTGTTATAGTGTGTGTGAAAAGTGATATCATACGTTTGTTTGTTTTTATTACTTGTACAGGTTAGCTTTAGTTTCTCATCATCGAACTTGGAAATTTCCAACTGTCTTCTTTTAATTTATTGATATGAAACAAATAAAAAACATCTGTCAGTTCATTATGAATAAAATAATCAGAATATATTTCAATATTTAGCATGATAAATAAAATTTTTGTACTATATGATTTTCGTATGGTGTCCTCTCAGTTCATCCCAAATTAGCTTTCTAAGATCAAACAACATCATAGAAGTGGGCAGGTGTGAGAATGAGCAATTTGGGACGAAGTGAGAGTGAACCTTTTCGTATACGGTGTTAGATACCTGAATTCTATTTTTAATTCTGAAACCTGTTGATCAGTAAATTGGTTTTTTCACACGATATATCTAAATCTGATATGAAGAGAAAAGCAATGGAGCTTATCGGAAAATGTTTTTATTTTTTTTTTATTACTTATTTGCACAGATTAGTTTTAGTTTCTCATCATCGAACTTGGAAATTTCCAACTTCTTTCTTTTAATTTTATTAATATGAAACAAACCAAAAACATCTGTGCTCATTACATGACTGAGTAGGCTAACGGTCATCCATCGTCTGAGAGGTTGAAACAAAATCGTTTTATTATTTTAACTATACCCCTTTTTTAACAAATATTGTAATAGGTTATAGCCTAGAAAGTCATGATAAGATTTTAACTAAATCCAATATTATATTTGATTTTCAAGCTTTTCGATGCGTTTCTCACATCCTCATCAGGAAAATGAATATAGAAAGAAAGATAATTGTTTACATAGACGATAAATGTAAGTTAAGAGGAACAATTTTTGACTAGACGATAAAGAAGGGAACATATGAAAGCTTTCGACGGATTGTCGGTTAAGTAGGAGAGGAAGTAACCATCATCAACCAAATATTTTTAACTTATGTTTAACATCGTTTAACGATTTTCCACAGCTGTTATATGTATATAGACTCTTAATTATGCGCCGTTTCCAGTGTATTTCTAAAGCTAATTAATATTTCTCTACATTATCGAAATCAAATTGATGTTGAGTTTGAATAACGTGTTGTGCTACGGCTGAATCTTTTTCCAAATCTTTTGAAATAGAAAAAATTGTCTTAATTAATAAATTATAAATGGGATAATTGATTGACTTTCAGAAAAATGTGATCAACAGAAAAAACCGAGGCTTCATGATTGAGACCACTTTTTTTTGATGATTATTAATTAGATTTAAAAAGTGGTCTCAATTTGGAATAGAGAGTTTGTTCTTTTCACATACTTTGTACACTGTTTATAATTTCGAATCACTTTTTAATTAGGAATGATTGGCTACCGTACAGACACAAAAAAAGTAGGACAGTTATATTTTAGGTTCAAATATCCAAAAAGAAACTCGTTTGAATTTATTTGTTAATAAATATTTCACTGATGGTAGCGCTAAACTTTGCAGAAAATTTCAGCTTGTGTCCTTGAGGGTAAAATTTGCAGCAAAAGAGACGTTTGCATGGTATAAGATGATCAGAGGTATAAAGATCTGTGTTTATACATTTATATACGCTAGAACTCATGTAAAATACCTGCATTGGATAATGAGTGCCGTTATCATCAATACCACTGCTACCAATTATGACATCATCTTTTATTGTAATTGAATACGAACAACAATTACGAGTACAGACCCATTTTTCAGTTCCGTCTTTATTTGAACGTTTTAACCGATATAAGTAACTTTTATATAATATACCATCCTGGTTTTTTTCAGTTTTGATACGAGAAAAATGTAGAGTTGTAGACACGATAGGATTAGTAGAAAAATTCGAATTGAAATACTGTGTTTCAAGGTAATGCTACTTTTCATTTATATAGTCTCACCCGATCCAGTAATGTCGCTCTCAGCTCAATTTAGTTTTAAGCATCAGTTTTGAAAAATATTTCAATCAGTTCCTATCTGTACAGTAGCGACCACTTTTTAAATATAATTAATAATCATCAAAAAAAAGTGGTCTCAATCATGAAGTAGCCGAAAAAACTCATACGCTTGATGCGCACAGAACTGAAATATTGTCAAATCGAGAATTGCACATTCTTCACTACCAGTTGAAACAGACAAAATGAATTCTTTCATATGAGTTGCACTTCATTTCATGTTGTCGATAGTGAAAGTAAGACAGAAAATATCTACTGTTTTTCCGAAATTAACTGTTTCTTTTCGGGTGGACGCTCATAAAAGGGAAATGGAAACTAGCGTATGAGTGGGCGTTCGAACTGCCTGGTGGAACGCATAGTTGAACTCGCTTCAGTACCTTGAACGGGTCCAGTTCTTAAGTCCCGTTGGTACGCTTTAACCCGTTCTAGATGATCGTGGAGCTAGTTCGGAATTGATGATCTGAACGTCCGTCCAGTAGGCTTTTTTTGAAACGCCGTTCTATAACCTGTTCGTTCGTTGCTGGATAAGGCACATCTCATCGATAAATGGCTTTTGTTCCGTATATTTTGATGATTGATTTACTCAAACAATTTCAACATAGAATCGGCAGATTTGATTTATACAATGATGACTTTGACACGATACTTTGTTCAGTTTCACCCGGACGATCATTTAGAAATATGGATTAAAACATGTCAAAAGTGCACTTTTGATGTATGGTTGGTTTTATTTAGTTTTTAAATTCTCTTTCGGATAAAATATTACTCAAAAAGAAAATTAGATTTGTTGTTTTTGAGTTATAGTCAAACTAGTACCAAATTGTAAGACGTGCTTGTTTTGGGAAAAATTTATCAGTAACTTCTTTAAACAATGCGCTTGATGATTTTTTGAAAAATACTTTTCTCCATAACATTTTGTGAATTAATGGGCAAAGGTAAAGATAGAAATTTCTCTTATATCTTCGTTTTCATCTTTATTCATGCAATTTGTGTCAGCAGAAGTTTTTAGTTCTTTTGATATTGAGATGACTTATCACTAACGCACACTGTGCATCCGAGCGGACATTTGGCAAAAAATCGAAGATAAGCTTCTTCAAAATTCGAATAGCAGCCATCATACTTCGATATATGGGCTATCTTTTGTTAAGAAACTTCTGGTTCCAAGTGACGAACTTTCGGAAAAAACGTTCAAGTAAAATAGACGTGAAATAAGCTCTTACATGAGAATAACGATTTTTATGCACGATAAAGCGAAAGTGAAGTTCTAGAACGTACATATTCGAATTCAGCGCCAGCTCAGCTACAAGATAAAAATAATTTTCATTTGAATGTGAATTGCAACGTCGCAAAAAAGCGTTTTCCTAAACTGAACAGTGTTTCTGAAACATGGCTGCAATAAAGTAAAGTTCCGAAAGTTTCTGAAGATCCAGATCGACTCAAACTTTTATAAAAAATTCTCGTCTCCATGCCCTGCGTCTATGGTGCATGCGGTTTTGCTTCCATACTTAGAAAGGAATTTTCCCAAAACCCGTTAGTTTTTTAGGTATTTTACGATTTTTTCATTACGGAAGCAGCTGCGTTAAAAAAGAAGAAGATATTTGGAATTAGCGCAAAAAACTGCATCGATTGATATGCAATTGGCAGGTTTTTCTGGGCAAAAACTTGTTAGATCCAGCGAAACGCTAAAGTCGAAGCATAGAATCCCAATTTTGGCTAAGGATTTTGATATTTGCTATAGAAGCAGTCTGAAAGACTATAAACAGTTTTTTTATAGGTTTTCAGAAATACTCTTTCCAATTGGTCCACTTTATAAAGTTCCAAAATACTTATATATGAGTTTTCTGGAGACCCGATCTCTGGAGAACGCAGCTGAAAGTCTCTTTGAATTTTGTAAAACACACCATTGGAAAGAGAATATCTGAAAACTTATAAAAAAAGTGTTTATAGTCTTTCGGACTGCTTCTATAGCAAATGTCCGCCTGACCAATTCAAAAATGCACACTGTATAACGTGATTAAAATTTAATTTTAAGATCAAGCAGTTATTATTAAGAAAGACAATACAAAATTTGCATGTAACCAGAATTTTTCATATATCATACTTTGTACTCATTCTTTTCTCCTGTTTTCGTCATACGCATAAAATTCTTAGTCTTCTCTCACGGTGTGTTTGTCTACATGGTGTTTGAGTAAAAATCTCATGGCGTAGAGCCGTTTCTTACTCGTGCAAAATGTATTTTTTTCCGAGTCATGCGCTTGACTTTCTTAACTCATGTGCTTGAGTTTAGTATCTCAAGAAACTCCTGTGCATGAGATTCTTATCTCAAGCGATTGACTTTAGTAAGCAAAGCTTTTCTCTTTCTTGTCTTTCCGATCTGCTTTGACCAATGAAATTTGAAATTTGGATTTTGTTCTTTCAATATGAATATATATAGAAATAGACTGGACAGGTCTGTTTATAGAGAAGACATGTGGACGTCGTCATATACATGCAAAAGAATAATGCACGTTGTCTATACAGCATTTCTTCTTTTTTTAACGTACTGTGAAGTTGAAGACCATTTTTACTCGCATATTTTGCATGTTTTAACCTGCGTTTTCTTACTGATTTGTCATAAAAAAGGATAAAAAATTAAATAATTTGAACCTTTAACTTTGAGGTAAGTACACAGCAATTTGAGACGAAGGAAAGAGAGAGTTAAATTGTCCTTCGTTTTTTTGTCACAAAATTGAACTGTCTTTCTCATTAACAGTTTTGAAAGGTCTTTCTTCTCAGATAAAGTACCGAATCTAAGGTCCTTCCCCCTTGTTTAAGCTTAGTTAAAAATATTGTCTGTGCATGGTCTTCAAATAAAAATGCACAAAAGTGAGATATGCACCAAATAGTTGATCTTTATCATTACAATTGTAAGTTTCCTCGGTGTAAGATCACTTTGCCGTTGGCGGCTTTCAGGATGCAGCAAGTATTAGTTTGATCTTGTTTGATGCACAAAGGATTGGGTACCAGACTATACCGTCTCATTCACAGGATGTTAGATAGGCTCTAGCAACGAACTGATATTAGCGTGTAGTATTTGCGGATACGCTTCTCTAGAAGTCCAATCGCGAATGTTTTCTTCACATGCGGTAAACGTTAACTTATCGGTAAAACTCACAGACGAGCGTTAAAAGACATCAACCTTTCTTTTCTCGAACAATGTTTTTAGGACATTTCGAGGTTTGTTCAATTAAGACAGCATCTCAAACCTTACATTCACCTTCTATACACCATTTTGTAGAGAAATGAATGGGAAATCTTTTGGTAATAAGATGAGCTCTGTGAGTTCAAAGAGAGAGGAGAAAAACTGAAAATAAAACTACGCCATTCTTTATGTAACATCTGTTAAGTGATTATAAATATAAATATCAATTATGTCTTTTTGTTGTTTCTTGAGCTGCTGCATTAAAAATGACCTCTAGTAATATCAAGAATACCGACCAAATTAGCGCAATGGTACCATCATCAATATTATCTCATCGAATATTATCGGCAATAAATTCACCACATTATCAACTAGCTAGATCATTTATGACTAACGAGTATTCGAAAGTTATATCTGCACATAGAGAAGCAATACCATCATCACCATCTAATCTATGTGATTTTACATTTGGTAATCCATGTGATATGGCATTACCTGCATTTTTATCATCATATCATAAATATGTAGAACCATTAAATACTGATTGGTATGCTTATTGTAATGTAACGAATTTTAATTCACAACCTTCTCGTGAAATTATCGCATCAAATTTATCGAAAAAACTATCACCTTTATCATTTGAATATGAAGATATTTATTTAGTCACAGGAAACTTTGGTGGACTTTATACATGTCTATCTATGTTGTTAAATAAAGACGATGAAGTCATATTTCCTATTCCATCATGGTTTTTTATCAATCAATGATTATAGCATGTCAAGCAATATCTATTGAGGTTAACATAAATATCAATACCTATGATTTAAATATAG